TGTTCGACGTCGCTGCCTTTGTCTCCCACCCAATGCGTCGTCCACCAGACTTTGAATCTAAAGATGCTCATGAACTTAATACCTCTGAGTTTGCCAAGGGAGACGACGTGCCTACTCTTCGTTTCTTCGGCATCAAAACCCACGTAACAACCGACCGTGTTTGTTGCCTTGTCTGTAGATGGAGTGGCTATAATATTCGAAGGGACATCGGTGAGGATGGGGTGTCCGTTGGCCGTAAAATGCGACCCTTCAAGGGTAACTGATGACGGATGGCCGTCGTCTACGAACCCAATAAGGTCAGTGGATCCTTTGATCAAGCTAGGGGCCATGGGGAGATCTCGCAAGTATTGACACGGGAACAATTAATATAAGAAATCAAGAGGAGAAAGAGTAGTTGTTTTTAGACACTAGACAGACAGAAAACAGAGAGCCGAGAGCGATGAACACATGCAAGGCCCAGGAGCACCGCTTTATAAAGAGAAGGCAATAAGGAAAAAGGGGGGAATCTGGAATCAGAAAATGCCCCAATAATAATTTTTAAAAGACTGGGTTGTGGACCTTGTGGTTTGCCCTGTTGCCCATCCTAGACCTCACGGTTTCAATTTGTCCTCGTGAGTGGATGGCTTTGTTGAAGGTTGTAATTAATAAAGACTTTTCTTCTTCTATTTATTTCTATATAAGCTACGGCCATACAAGTGGAATCTAAGCTCGTTCTAGTGGGGGCCTTGGCTTTGATGTGTGTGCTTTTCAAGCTTCCTTCCTTCAGGCTTCAGTTTACACTGGACACCACCTAAAAGAGTAAAGAGTGGCGAACTTGGCAACTTGCGATCAAGAAGCCAGGAATGCAGAATGTTGTGGACCCCTCACCCCGTCTTTTTGAACGGCATGGAATATGTGCATTTTTGGGAATTTTTCTTTTGCCATCTCATTCAAATTTTCAAGTAGTGGTATAAAATGACAGCCACTAAAATTTTGAAAAGATAGAAAGAGAGAAGATTCCCCTCTGGACATATGACAAACAATAATCCGACGATTAATTGCCTCACAGATGTGAGCTCGTTCAAAACACCCAACGTGGTCTACCGTCGCACTCGCACTGCTACCAATTTTCTTTGATCAAATGATAAAAAGATTTTTCTGGACCTTCACATAAATCCAACCCAAAATCTCCATAGTCTTATTTGTTTCTCCTATTAACATTTTGGCTTCAACACTTCGTGAGGAAATCAAAATGAAGTCCACCTCTTCTTTTTTTTTTTCTTTTAAATCTTTACTAACAATTGACCAGTTGTTAGTTGGACGACCCGAGCCTCTATTTTTGAATGGTTTCATCACTAAAATGAAAATGGTATATGATGATGTGCGATTTGACTACTCTTAGCTGGAGGTCGATTCGACTTTTAGGTGGATGTCGAGCTGGATCGATCTGCAAAAAGATATATCAGAGAACTTGAGGTAGTTAATCCGGTGAGGTCGCTCTGATGCCTAAGTCAATAATTGTACTGCAAATGCAACTTGAATGCTTAAGAGTTTGAGTGCTAGTGAGTAGAGCAATCACGCGTACCATTGCCTTGAGATTTCAAGTCTTTATATACTGGAGTAGCCGTGTGCTTCACGAAAGAGCTCCGGGTTCTCTGGGCTATAGAGATAAGGTTGGCTCCGCTTTTGGATTACTCTTTCTCATTTTGTACTTACTTCAGTTCGTGACTTACCCCTTCCTTTTTCTCTTGCAGAAGCTATGCCGAACGTCGATGCAAAAAACCTTTTGAGGAGCTTCCAAAGGGGGAAGAAGAGGAAGGCCTCAAAGAAGTCTCGCCGGGAGGGTCGACCCTTCAATTCCCGCCCCACCCGAGGTCGCTGTGCCGGAGCCGATCTCAGTCGAGCTTCCGGAGGAGGAGGTCCGTCCCCAACCTCCTATCGTGGTCCTGGACGAAAACCAGGACGAGAGAGCTCTGCCTCGCAAGCCCGAGAGTGCTTAAGTGCCCAAGCCTCAGCTCTCCAAGGAGAGCATAATGACCTCGCAGCTCGGGCTCCTTAAAAGTAAAGACGTCGTTTTTCCTGTTGAAGTCGCGGAATGGGCTGACATGCCCACAAGTCAGCTCAGGGGCAAGGCTGCCAGTTACTGTATGGTAGTGAGTACCTCGCCTTTTTATTTTATTTCCTTATTCATCTGTTAATGGTACTTACATCTGCTTTCTATTCTCCAGGTGAACTCCGCCATTCATTCACTTGTCTACTAGTCCAAGATCCGCCTGAAGCGAGCCTGGGAAGCCAAGGAGAATGCTCGAAAACTTTACCGCGAGCTGGACTTAGCTCAGGGTGAGGTTCTTCGAGCTAAGAAGGGAGCTAAGAGCCAGTAGGAGCTAAGCATGGTACTCTCGGAGGAGAAGGGGAAACTTGAGCGCAAGAATGAGAACCTCGATGTGATGATCAAAGAGCGCACCGAGATCTTCGACACCGCCATCCAGGAGGCGTGTGCTGAGGAGAGAAGGCGTGCCATCAAAGATTTCAAGGAGTCTTCGGAGTTTCACAACCTCCAGGTTGAGTATGGATCAAGCTCATATCGGTCTGGTTTCAAACTATGCAAGTGGCTGATGCGATAGAAGTTTCCCGAGCTCGACCTCGGAGCTTTTTCCATGTCGGATGTCACTCCTGAGATGGCGAAAGTGGCTAACGAAGAACCCAGCTCCTCTGAAGAGGAAAGTGATGATGAAGTCCTTGAGGCGGGCCCGTCAGGAGAGGCAGGCCGAGAGGACGCAGAGGAGGATCGCATGGAAACCGACCTACCTGGCAGTTTGGACGCATAACCTTGCCTCTTTTCTTGGACCTCTTTATATGCAATGTACATCCCGGGCCTTCGAGCTCGGTTATAGTAGTTTTTTTTTTTTGTACTCAGAATTCTACATTAATGAAATATAAGTGTTTTGGCAATCTTTCTGCGCAAAAAAAAAAAATCTAAGTGTAGATTACTCCCAAGGTAGCAAGCTAAACCAAATAGGAGTGAACTTTTCCTAAGTATAGGTTGCTGTCGAGCTGGTGAGCTCGACACTATTAAGAACGATATAATTATTGTTGTATGCCAGGACGATTAGACACTGTAGGGTACATACCTGAACTGCCTATGCCTAGGTCGCTTATTTGTCTAAGTGTTGGTTATCCCTAAGTGTCGAGCTAAAGAGCTCGGCTTCGTGCGGGATTAACCTTACATTACTGTACACTGAGGTAAATTAGACACCGTAGGGTTTACACCCAAGCTATCTATTCCTTATAGGCGACTAAGACTCGTCTGCCTATGCCGAGGAGGCGACAAGGACTTGTTTGCCTATGCTTATGCCTATGTCGAGGAGGCGACTAGGACTTGTCTGCCTATGCCGAGGAGGCAAGTAGGACTTTTCTACCTATACCGAGGAGGCGACTAAGACTTCTCTACCTATGCCAAAGAGGCAATTAGGACTTGTCTTAGTGCCGAGGTCTTCTGTCATCTCGGCACCGTAGTTCGTAGCCTTCTGGGAGTAACTCGCAGTCCTCTCTCTAGTCCGTCATCTTTGGGTTGAAAGTTCACAAGTAGTACCTTCTTAGGTTATCAATATTCCATGCTTGTGGTACCTGCTTCCCTTCTAAGGTTTTGAGCTCATTCGTACCTCCTTTGAATACCCATTTGACTCGGTACGGTCCGAGCTTGCCAACGCCGGGCTCTAGTATCATAACCTTCCAAAGAACCAGGTCGCCGACACGAAAGTGTTTTTTTACTGACCCGGGCGTTATAGTACCGAGCTACTCTTTGTTGGTAAGCTACGGTTCGAATGTAAACCAGGTCTCGTACCTCTTCTATTAGGTCTAGGTTGGTACAAAGCTCGTCATCGTTCGTCTCCTTATTGTAAGCCTCCAACCGTAGTGTGGGTACCTCGATTTCCGCCAGGATCACCGCTTCTGCACCATACGTGAGGTTGAAAGGGGTTTCACCTATGACAGTCTTAATGGTAGTTTGGTAGGCCCAAAGGACGTTGGGTAGTTCGTCCACCCACAACCCCTTGGCTCGAGCTAAGCGAGCTTTCAGTCCATGAAGTATCGCTCTGTTAGTGACCTCTGCTTGCCCATTCGCCTGGGGGTGTGCCACCGAGCTAAAATTCTGTTGGATCCCCATTTCGGAGAACCAATTTTGGAACTTAATATCTTTGAACTATTTCCCATTGTCGGATATCAGCACTCGAGGTAGTCCGAAGCGACATACTATGTTTTTCAAGAAGAAGTTCTGTATGTTGCGGGCTGTGGTCGTTACGAAGGGTTCGACTTCCACCCACTTCGTGAAGTAAACTAATGCTACAACCAAGAACCTCCTCTGCCCTGTTGCTCGGGGAAAAGGACCAAGGATGTCGATTCCCCACTGCGCAAAGGGCCACAGGCTAGTGAGGTATTTCAGATCGGTGGCAGGTTGATGGTGAATGTTGGTATGCCTCTGGCACCTTTCACATTTTTTGACGAGCTCGAGTGCATCTGTCTTCATCGTGGGCCAGTAGTAGCCTTGCCTTAATGCTTTCTGTGCGAGACCTCTGCCCCCCAAGTGTCTATCACACAGGCCTTCATAGGTGTCGCGAAGTGCATCCTCAGCTTCTGAAGGTTGCAAGCTGCACAGGTAAGGGAGTGTGAAAGACCTCTTGTACAACTGTCCATCTATGAGGACGTACTTAGTTGACTGGTTCTCTACCCTTCAGGCTGCGTTACGTTCTGCAGGTAGGATCCCGTGGAGCAGATAACTCACGAGCGGGTCAATCCAGGTCGGTTCCGCTTGTGATACGGGAGTGACCTCTCCTGCCCCCCCGAGAATGCAGGGCCGAGGTAGATTTTCAATGTACACAGTTCGCATAGAGTTGTTGCTCGTGCTGCCTAGTCGAGATAAGGCGTCGACCTCAGCGTTCTCGGACCTTGGAATCTGTCTGATGAAGTAGGAGACGAAGCTATACAGGATCTCTCTAACTTTGGCGAAATAAGCTGCCATAGTAGGGTCGCGGGCTTCGTACTCACCAGTGACTTGGTTAACCACCAGTTGTGAGTCACTACATACAATGAGGTGTTTGGCCTTCATTTCCCTCGCTAAGGGTAACCCGGCAACCAACGCTTCGTATTTCGCCTCGTTGTTGGATGCCTCGAACCCGAATCGGAGAGCATATTCAGTTTCACCCCGCTTGGGCCGTACAGTATCAGTCCTACACCGCTCCCTTGCTGGTTGGACGAGCCATCGACGTGGAGGATCCATGGCTCCTCGTCCTAGGTCGGTTTTGCTCTGATCGGGACCGGTGCCGCACTGGTTGAAGCTCCCATCATGCGAGCTCGATCGGTTCCCACAGACGGTGCCAATTGATGATGCGCGATCTGACTACTCCTAGTTGGAGGGCGATTCGAACTCCAGGTGGACGTCGAGCTGGATCGATCTGCAAAATGATAAATCAGAGAACCCGGAGTAGCTAACCCGACGTGGTCGCTCCGATGCCTAAGTCAGTAATTGTGCTGCAAATGCGAGCTGAATGGTTAAGAGCTTGAGTGCTAGTGAGTAGAGTAATGACAC